TTTCTTATACAACCAAAAACCGGAGAAAAATTACGAGAAAATAATCTTAAATTGCAGTACAAACTAATATTATATAATTTCATTTTACATGTAACTTTAATATTCGTGAGTAAATACCTTCTTCTTCACGTTCATTTTTAGGATCAGACATTTTTTTTTTTTTTTGTCGCGTAAAATCCAAGCTCCCGCTATAAATATGCTTGCTTGTTAATCAAACTTCTAGTGCGTGGCTTAAATTTGTTGGCTAAGATGATTATTGACCAATCAAATCAGATTACTATACTGATCTGTGTAATTTGGGGGGGTATTTATATATTGATGTACGTACGTACGAACCTAGTTCAATTTGATCATAATGTCTTTCATTCCGGAAGAATTCGAAACCAATGTAAGTGACGGTGAACTATATTATGAGGACATATACTTTGATTCTGATCTTGATAACGAAACTGGTGAAGTTGATAAGGAACAAAGCAATTCGACAGGTTCTTTAATAGCTTTTCGTTGAAGATTTGGAAGCAAGAGATTTTTAAATTTAACCGTAGGACGTTGATATAATTAGAAGCAACATATTCAATAAAAAAACAAAAATTACGAAAAAAATTAACAGAAGATGAATTATTTTATGACCCTAAAATGGATGATGATGATGAATTGTGGATGAAAAAAAAATTAGCTCGTAAGCATTTTAATATTATATATGTAAGGAAATTTCAGTAGATGAACAGATCAAATGACAAATATATATTTAAGAGCATGACATCGAGACAACTGACCAAACAACAAAAGAAACCATAAACCAAATAGCAGCAAAAGAAACAGATGCGATATTATCATGTCCCATGTGTTTTACTGTTTTAAGTTATCATACTCAAAAGTAAGTGTTAGAAGCCTTGTGATTAACCTAATTGCGTATGATACTGACAAAATCATACACATAGACATAGCCTTTATTCAACACAATATCGAGCAATTTTTGTAGAAAATTGTAAAGTCAATCGGTCGGAACGATTAATTTATACCGATAAAGAAAATCTTAAAGCGCATAATAAAAATAAAAATAAAAGATTATCAGATAAGCAAAAACAACGACCTAACTCTACAGATGAAAATACACTTGAGAAGTCCACAGCAAAGGGGGAAATTTATTATCCTGTAGAGTGCGAAATTTGTGGAACTAAAGTGGCTGTAATGAATGACGAGGAAGTATTTCATTTTTTTAATGTTATTCCATCATGAATTATTCATGAATTTATTTATGAATTACTCATGAATGTGTATTCTGCATCGCGTCGAGAATTAATTAGTTGCAGATATTGTTTATTTGTGTTAGTTGAATTAATTATACAGCATATATTAATTTCACCAACCATAATAAAAAAGTAATATTAATGTACACCTGCAAAAAATATTGTATAATATACATAACGTGCATGTTGAAATAAATTATAGTTACAAAAAAAAAAAAAAAATCGGTTATTAAATCAGTAAACGATATTATTAAAAAAAATGCATATACAGGGCATAAAATACCAACTCATTATTTTAAGTGTCTTTTTTGATACATTAGAATAATTTGAATCAAGAACGGTATTTTTGAATGACCGGTAAATGAGTTGGTATTTTATGCCCTGCTATAATTACTTTAAAGAGACTTCAAGGCATCACACAATGTCCCAAAATAAGTATATACAGATTATTTTGAACGTAACATTCATCGTTCATTAATAACCGATCAAGAATCAATGGCGAATATAATCAATACATATATATTAAAAAATGAATGAATGACATATTTTTTTGGGGGTTTTTTTTTTGTTTTAATAAACATAAATCGTTCATTATTACTTTGGTATTTCATATACTTTATAGGAATTTAAATACTTCGTAGCCAACTCATTTTTCCACTTAATTCTTTTTGAATATATGTAATTTTATCAGTATGTGCTTTTGTTTTTTGATTCGATATTTCAACATCTTTCTTAACCATTTCAACTTCACTTTGAATCCTTGAAAAAGATTTTTCTTGATTTTCTCTTAGCTTAGCTTGAATGGATTGTAGTTCCTCAACTTCTACTTGTCTTTGTGACGTTATCTCTTCAATTTTTGCGCCTGCTTCCACAACAACATCTTCCAATTCTTTTGCTGTTGAATTCATTTCTTCTCTTAATTCTTGGAATTCTTTTTTAATTAATTCAACATCTTCAACATAACGTTGTTTAAAATTTTTCATTTCCTTTGTCAATAATTGATATTGCAGTTCTGCTTGTTCCTTACTTAACAATGCCAAAGCCAGTTGGTGTTCCAAGTTAGAAGCTTTTGATTCTGATTCTTGTAATCTTATGTTTGTATTATCTCGTTCTGATTTTAGATCCATTCTTTTTCTTTCATGTTCTTTCGAAATCTCTTCCAATTCTTTTACCTGTCTTTCCTTTCGTTCCAACATTCGTTTTAGAGAATCAATTTCAAGTCTTAATGTTTGATGTGATGCGGAATGTTCTTGTACTTG